ATTTTGCTCTACCATTGCCTCACATTATTTCCCACAACATTAGGAAGTTTATTCAACTTTTTCACTATGACATGTGTTTGTAACATGCAGAGAGAACCGTTGTTCCATAATTTCACACATTTTATTCCATCCATTTGGAAGTTTCTTATCAAGTACCTAATCATTCAAATTTAATAAATTTACATTACAACACACACAACTTTCGGCCATAATCAATTCCTTCCCATAAACACAGACAAACTATGATATGAACTGCTCATCAATCACATAAATGCATTTCAATCCTTTACTCTCCACTTTTTTAAATTTTATTCCATACATTTGGAATTTTACTCTACCTTAACCTCACATTTTTATCCACAACATTAGGAAGTTTATTCAACTTTTCACTATGACATGTTCTGTTTGTAATTCACATAACATGCACATTGAACCATTGAACCATAATTTCTCACATTTTATTCCATGCATTTGGATGTTTCTCATGAAGCACCTAAGCATTCAAGTTTAATAAAGTTTACATTAAAACACACACAACTTTCTGCCATAATGAATTCATTTCCATAAATACAAACAAATATGATATCAATTGCTCATCAATCACATAAATTCAATTCACTCCTTTACTCTGTACTTTTTCAAATTTTATTCCTTAGATTTGGAAGTTTACTCTACCATCACCTCACATTTTTATCCACAACATTAGGAAGTTTATTCAACTTTTCACTATGACTTGTTCTGTTTCTAATTCACATAACATGCACTTTGAACCAATGAACCATAATTTCTCACAGATTATTCCATGCATTTGGAAGTTTCTCATGAAGCACCTAAGCATTCAAGTTTAATAAAGTTTACATTAAAACACACACAACTTTTGCCATAATGAATTCCTTTCCATAAATACAAACAAATATGATATCAATTGCTCATCAATCACATAAATGCATTTCAATCCTTTATTCTCTACTTTTTTAAATTTTATTCCTTAGATTTGGAATTTACTCTACATCACCTCACATCATCTGCCATAAAATTAGGAATAAAATGCATTTCGAACCTACATGTTCTGTTCGCAATTCACACAACATGCATTTCGAATCATTGTTCCAAAATTTCTCATATTGTATTGCATGCATTTGGAAGTTTCTCATCAATTGCTTTAGTTTCTGTCCAATGTACTACGACATCTATTATGTAGTTTGTCGTTCATACACAATAACACAATGCATTTTAAGCCATTATTCCATAATTTCAAAAATTTATTCCTTACATTTGATGTAAAGCTTCATAAACTGTAAAAGCAAAAAAGAATTACCATGTCGTCATTGATGCGCACAGTCAGGGGAGAAGGTTTTGAAGGTTGGAAGTCGTCATCTGCCATATTCACTGTCACTTTTCTTCTTCCGTCGATGTTCTTCAGTTCTTCGTTTCTGTATCTTCTCACACTTCACTCAATTGGAATTATCATTTTGTTTTTTTAGAATTTTTGCTTTTTTACTTGAATGGAATAACTTCCGCTCTCCCAGGTCTCCCGAATTGAATGCGCGGTTATGTTCTTTCTGATAATTTCGGCGCAAACGTCATATTTTTGGAAACCCGATGTGCAGTCTTGGGGAACGGGTATAATCTTACGTGGAAACCCGAAGCGGCTTATTTCGTAGGGGCATTTTTGCCAGATCGATCCCAATTTGCTCCCACGAAACATAAAATGCGGAAGTGGTCCTATTTTAGCAATCGGATGGGCTTTTAGTCTTATATAAAAATTAACTCATAAAAAATACTTCGAGGTATAACGATATGGAAAAATTTGTAATGCTACGTAACAAGCATGGAGGAGAGGGTGACCATCACCCTTTTTGGAATTAAAATGGAGGGGACAAAATAGTGAAAGCTTTAAACTGAGAAAATATTTTTCTATATATTTTTCCTTCTTAACAGTTGTATTTATATACATACATCTCAAAAGAGGTCTTTTAATTTTTGAAAAGCTATTAAAAATGTCATGCCAAACATACAACTAAAAGCTTTTAGAGACTTTTTGAACAGTACAAAAGCTAGAAGGCATAGACCTATGCCTGCCAAACATACCTTAAAGCAAGTTCCAGGTTAATTCACAGAACAAAAATATGGTGTGTACTTGTGTGCACGGTGGATTACACGCCTGTGTACACAGAATAAAACCCTCCCCCATTTATTGAAATGACCCACCCCCTTCCCCTTTCTACCGAAATAACCCAACCCATTTTGTCTGTTCCTTTTTTTTCATTTGTCTGTGTCTGTATCTCTCTATACTGCTCGTCCTCTTCCGCTTCAATAGACGACCACCATGGATGCAAGTACAATGTACGTCTAGGATGACGAACTTAGAGTGAAGGTAGAACCATAACGTCGGGTGCGGTGCAAGCCGGTGAACAGAAGACGGAGGGTGTTATCCGAGGGGATAAAGTCACGACCCCGGCTGTGATGGAAGCCGGTGATCAGAAGACGGAGGAGAGTTTTTGAAATTCTATGGAAGCCACTAAGTATCTCCGATGAAACCGCTCAAGGTAATAACTCTCTGTCTGTTCATTTTCTCAAATGTGAGTTCAGGGTTTTTGATTTGTTATGTGAAGCACAATGCTTACTACGGAGTATTTTTTTCAGTTTGAAATTCTAGTTTGGTGCTTAGAATATGTTTGTGAAGTTATTTATGATTTTCCCCGAGTTCAACATCTATCAAAATCCGTTTAAACAAATTCTTTGACGAATTGAGTTTTTTATTTTGTATCTCAATATTGAACTGCATGTTTATTAGTAATGGATGACTTTAATTTGATACCTCACAACCATTTCTGTTCAGAGTACGTTCATATGAAGGAAATAGCCATTGCTTCATATAATATGATTATTATAGGCAAAATTGATATGAATAATCCCTACTTTCATCAATTAAACAAAAATAATCCATACTTTAAAATTTTACAAGAGTAATTCGAACTCATTATGGATGTGCCAGAAATAGAATAAATGAGACAGACCTATACTTCCGTCCAAAGTTACCACCGCTTTGAGTTACGTGAATACGCCAAATCAGATATATTTTTCTCCATCCACTTGTTTTTTCATCTCTCAAAAATCCTAAAATTGCGTAACTATGGAGTGCAACGATAGTGGCTATGCATCATATTGTTTTTGCTAATTTGTCAAAGAATTAGTTTGTCTTTATTACTTCTCTATTTACAAGGAATTAGTGGATGAAAGCTCTGCAATTTGTAGCCCTAAATCTCTTTATTACTCCATCTTTAATAAGCTCCTTTTTCTTTTAATCGAAATAATGTTAACGAACATACCTTCGAAGTAATTCTCTGGGGTTGCTAGCCATAAAAGACTCGAAAATAATTAGAAGCAAATAACTTGCAGCTATATCCAGTGCTAAAACCTTGGATAGTAGTCTTCTGTGGCTTCAACTCCGTTCTGCCTACTTGGATTTACGCCCCCTGCTATGCCATTAGAGGAATGAGTTATTGGGCCGGGAAGGTGGGAAGATGAAGAGAAACCTATAACAGATAAAAGAGTTAACCGGCGTTAGACTAAAATGAGGGCTCTGCGTCGTTTATTATATTTGTTTGGTCATGGTGTCGAGTTTAGATTATTCATGTAAAATTTCGAAGTATGGATTATTTTTGTTTAATTGGTGAAAGTAGGGATTAATCATGTCAAATTCGCCATTATTATAATACTTTTCTTTCTTTTTTTGTATGAAGGAAGGAGTAAAGATGAGAATCGACCGGAAATAGCCATTGCTTTCTATGGAACTCACAAGAAAGTCGATGCATACGAATAGCTGAAATTCCTACGAAGATACTCCATAAATGTGAAGTAACTTACTAACTCAATGGAAAAATGACTATCCTCAAGATTGTTTTTATGATGAATGATTTTTTTTTTTGAATTAATTCCAACCCCCCACCCCCATCCCCAAACCGGCCAGACCCCCCCCCCCCCCCCCCCCCCCCATACCTAGCAGCCAGGCTAATGGAAAATTAAAAAAAAAACATGACCTTTGGGTAAGGGTCGTAAGGCCGACCGGGCCAATACACCAAAATAGAATCACGGTACCGCCTACATATTCATACGAGTCAGGCCCAGGGCTTGGTCTAGGTCACGGTCAACCGGGCTGGGCCAATCCTGCACAGTGGCGGCCGGAGTCAGGTAGCACGCCGGGTAGGCCCGTACCAGTCTGGCAGTCCATCCCTAGTTCCACCCCTATCTGGAGCTAGTGATGGGCCCGGCCGGGCTTTTTTCCCAAGTACTCGGGCCCGGAACCGGCCCGGGTTGATACCAGGTCCGAGCCTAACCAGGTCAGGCCGGGCCAGGCCCGGTTCAATGTCTAATTTTTTTTGCTTTCTTGTTATCCCCTGACCCCCCCACCCCCCAAACGTCCCCAAAACACCCAACCCTACCCTAGGAAAAGAAAAAATGAAAAGAAAAAAATAGACCGGGGCCCGAACCGCCCAGGCCATTTCGCCTAAACCTGGGCCCGAGCCCGGCCCGCCCAAACGGGCTAAAAGCCCGGAACCGGCCAACCGGTCCCGGTCCGATCCGGGCCTGCACTGTAGCGGGCCGGGCCGGTTTAGTCCATCCCTATCTGGGGCTGATCTACAAAATGAAAACCCACAAAGAGTTCAGGTATAGTCCAAGAACTGCCCTTCGTTCTTGCACCGTAACTTGTATGCCCTGTTTCTTTTAGTGCCTCGCCCAAATCATTGGACTATTTACCTACCATGACCTTGTCTACTCGCTCGACAGGCTCTTTGATTGTGATTCCAACTTTTCCTCTTGGGTCCTCCCATTGCTACTTTACCACTTTCAAATTTCACACAGCATTATACCTAGTGTTGCATTAATGAGATGAAATGATATTCGTAAAATATATAAATTTGACATATGTCTACATGCGTCCAGTTCATTGTTACAATTATTACAACAGAGTAAAAAGGGGTTAGCAGAAGTTTTTTTGGGTGTCCAAGATCCAACCACAATTAGTTTGTAATATATTCGATTTCACTTCTTCATACTCATCCATTACTGGTTCATTAGGTGCATTACCAAATAAAAGCAAATACGAGCATTATTAGTTATTCACTCAAACGGGAGTGAATAAATGACTACACAAGTGTGATGACACATACTTATAATGATGATAAACAGTAGCTGACTGGACTTGCAAGCATCCATTATTCATAGTCGAAACTAACCAACCATTTTCCATCCTTTGTCAACACGAATGTATAACACCCATGAGTGCTATAACAATTCAATCTACCACACACTTCGTGTTGGAATTGTATGCATGCAAGCTGCAAGAAAACAATCATATGGAAAAAATATAGAATGAGATGAGTAAGTTAGGATCGACAAAGAAATATAGATAATATTAACACATGAAAGTAATACAATATAGAAAGTGTCCAGACTATGCGCTACTTTAAGTTGCAGCATTTACCTTACGAAACACAAGCTGAGATGACAAATCTACATCATTGTTAAACTTCTCTTCTACCGCAGTCTTCAATCCCTGATTATTGTAATGAACACAACACAAAAACTCGTACTAAAAAACACATTAAATATTTTGGAGAAAAAAGAACATAGACATACATTTTACGGCGGGACTCTCTTACCTCAACATCACCAGCAAACTTAGGCACATGAATAATATGCTTATCTCTCGTAGGATATCCGGCGCGAAGTCCATCCACAAACTTCAGAATATCCCAAGTGTGGTATGCAAAAACTATAATCAAGAATCCCCTTCAAAAGATGTAAAATAACAGCTAGAAAATTAGGACGCAGTGCAGCCGCACTTATTATTTCACCAAACATAAAAATCAAAATTCAAATTGCAATTGCAAAAACAACAGAACAGAAATACTATGATCTTCGTCCCATACTAATGCAACGGTTTTACTTTTGCACTATACACAAACTCGACTATGACACCACCTTATTCACTAATGCATTAAAAATACAGTTACATTTGTCTAGATGTAAAATGTTTAAATGTGATTCTTATACAACTTATAATGATAGAAAATCAAATATAATTAAAGTTAAAACGGTCTCAACTAAACCGGTACAGTATGTGATAACCGTATGGTTCTAGAAACCCAACACATAAATCAATCAATCTAATGTACTGATCATCCAACCAGATTATATCAAATACGATAGTATATAACTTGGATCGCACATAATAACATTCACCACATAACACATTGAGCACTAAATGAAAATGCACAACCTAACCTCAGTAAAGCAATATTTTCCCTCTTTTGAAGAATATCTCTGCAGAAAACATCATTCTTGATACGATGCATTGCATCCTCAATGGCATCATCAGAAAAAGTTTGTTTGCTCCTCCTCATGCTGTATTGGTAGTTGTACTCCACAACTTTTTCACGAAAATTCCAATCCTGTAGAAACAAAAAGAGAACAAATAAGTTGAGAACATGAATTCTACTTAATGTGGCAGTTGGCCGCCCAATTAACGTTAAACCAGTGATGGATACCTGTTTGATTTTCTCACGGAATACATCAACAAAATCAGAATTATCCAGGACACTTTTCAATAAATCAGATTGCCTTTGCACTAGATCAAAACGGTTTTGCTTTGAAACAGGGGAGATGGGAGCATTTGCAAGATCAGAAGAATCTAGATTTTCCAGAAAAGTCTTGGCCATAGCAACAAGGTCATGACTTTTTTTCCTCTCAATTCCAATGGCCAGCTCCATGATGAAACATTCCTACATAAGGTATATATTAGTGAATCAGAAGCTAGTTCTCCTCAATAAGTGCCTCATATGCAGCAACCATGTGCATTCATTATCTAGTGTGCACGCCAAAAGAATTTAAAATAGGTGAAATCCTTCTATGGATGGACTACTGATAAATGGGAATAAAATTCGAATTAGATTCATAAGATGTATTTCTTACTTAGAGGAAGGAAATGACATGACCATTCTACCAACCAACCCCAAAATAAACATGTGAGAAGAACGTACCCCAACAAGTTCTGGAATGGGAGAGCCTTCCTCATTAAGCCAATCCCTTGCTTTCTGAAAAGACAATAACATAACACCTTAAACTCAAATGGCATCCAACAATTGAATATACTATGCAGGACCATAACGACAATGTATTGAATTCATATAAAAAACAACCAAGATTAGCAAGCAATCCACAACTTTTTTAGCACTTTTTCAAAATCAGTATTAGTACAGATGATGGAACACATATATCATAGGACGTATAGAGGAGAATGTTTATCAGCAATCCAGCACAAACGATGACCGGGAGCCTACCATCGACGCAGAAACAATGATTTGGAAGGGGTCTGTTACACGAGAAGATTCCACTTCACTTCGCAACTCCTGGTTCACATTCAAATTCACATTTTAACTCGAGGACCAGTTCACCACTCAGTAATATCACAGAATAACATTTTATTTCATCCAATAAAAAAACAAAATAACATTTTAATTGTAACAAGAAAATAACCTGACACTAAAAAAACAAAACAAAACAAAACATGCACATACTTCAATTGTACCACGGGGAGCGCCTCTCTGCTTCATCGTCCGAAGTAATTTCTGAATTATTAAAATAAATAAATAAATTAAATGCAAAAGGAATGAATGGGCTATAGCATCTTATACTCTTGCATCACAATGCATTCTACTCCAAAATGGAATAAATATTTTGTTTTCGTCGCAAATGAACAATCCATCAAATAAGTTGAAAACAGATCAATAAGGCATACACAAACAGACTTTAATGCATATAGATGAAACTTGGCAGTCTACCTGAAATAGATCCAAAGCGTGTTGTGTATTTTCACCCAAAGGAGCATTTACTGTAACAGTGCAATCCATTGTATCCAACTCAAGATACTCATCTTCACAACTCCAGTACATTATTAGAATGATTAGAAGCCGCCTTCACATACATGGTAAAGTAGTCAACAAGAGAGATATTGTCATACCAAATCAAGTTTAGTAAATAGTTTGCATGTGATACATGCTACACGACAACATTGCATGCAAACCTATAGACGAAGTGTGCGCCAACTGAGGTTTTCATGGTGTGTCGAATATGTTTGCAAAAACCATACTCTTTTTCGGTTTGGTTCTGTTCGGTTTAGTTCGGTTTAGTTCGGTTTGGATTTGTTAATTGTTAATAATATATGAAGGTTTTACTGAATATCTTTTAGTTCGGTTCAGTTTCGTTCAGTTTTTATCACCTTCGGTTCGGTTGAATACGGTATTAAGTTTGGTTTAATATGGTTTGGAAGAAATACTACCAAACTCAAACCAAATTGCATATGGTCCAGTTTTGGTTCAGTTTGGTACGTTTCGGTTTGGTTTAATTCGGTTTGGTACGTTTCAGTTCTGTTAAACCAAACCAAATGCATCTTATATTTTGGAATGGAGGTAGTACTGTTTTCAATTAAAAAATACATTAACAAATACTCCCTCCGTCCCTTAAAACTTTGCCAACTTTCCTTTTTTGGATGTCACACTAACTTTGCCACTTTCCTTTTTAAGTAAAGAATTTGTGGTTCCACTCTCCTCTGCACAAACCTCAACCACACAGTTTTTACTTTATTAATCCCTGTGCCGGTCAACTTAGCAAAGTAGAACATGTAAAGTGTAAAATACAAATAAAAACTCCAATAGACGCAGAATATTAATAAAAACTTCATCATAGTAGTCGTATTAGTAGCAATTGGATCTTGGACTTTCAGAACATCTTTGAAGCAGTAAGCTTTCTTGATACAAGCTATCCGTTCCTCAAATTTTTCTTGGCAAAATTTCCTTGAAAAATGTTCTATCATGTCGGGCAGGATACATTTCTGTAAAAGGATAATAAGAAAGTATTTGGTTAAGGGTGGTAGCTACAGACATTAGTTATAGTTGTCTAGAGTTTCTTATCACACACTAAGTTACAATACAAGTACCTGGACCTCCAATGCTTTATACAAAAGGCAACTGAATTGTTCATTTTTCCAAATATTTTTCAGAGCTTCGAAGTGTTTTCTCGCATCAAATCTTGAAGTACCATTTTCAGCTAACACATCTTCATCAAAAGATTGAAGCATCTCCTGTCCCATCTTTACAAGTACGTGATTCTTGGTCAATTTGTCACATAACTTCTTAATGGCTTCATCCTGCATAAATTGAAGCCATACTTTAAATGAATGTCTTATGTTACTGTAATGTACCGTCGAATATCAATGATAGGAACCGATCCTCACAGTAGAAACGACATGTACATTCAATAGAGAATTCAGAGAAGTTCTCAGAATTTCATAAGCTATCTCAGGAAACCTTACAAAAGAAGCTGTTAAACAGCGGAATAAGGAAGAAGAAGAAGAAGAAGAAGAAGAAGACGAAAAAGAAAATCGAGACAATTTTGAGAGTGCCTCTCTCTCCTACATCCCAGCCCAAATTCTAACTGAATTCGTGTATAACTCTTATTCTCCACTCTCCTATTTATACTACTCTTTAATATTATTATCAATAGCCTATTCTGCCCAGGTCCCTATCAATCCATCTATCGAAAGGCATATGAAGTATAGTACCAAGGTATTGAAAATAAACGAGTGAAATTGAGGGTGGCATTAAACTATCTTAATGTAGAACAAAGTGAAACAAATTAGATAGCAATTAATACAAAGGGTCAATGAAGTTGGAAAAATTGTTGAGTTTCTTCATTTTTTTTCATAGCTCACAGGCATAAATCCTAGGGAGCTTCTAAATCCTTCCAAAATGATTGATAACACACTAGCACGTGTGAATTTGATTCTGCAGAAGAATCTAAAAACGTTAGATAACACGCTATCCTTCCAATTTGTGTGTCTTGATTGGAACTGTTGAGCACCGTGCTCCGCACGGTTTGGGAAATACCTCAAATCTTGCCTGTGATGAGGTAGTGCTTCGTTAGGAAAAAAAACCTCTTGAAAAAAAGTAACCGAGAAAAGAGTACACCACCCTCAAAGCGAGAATAGAATCATGTGTAACCCTTCCCCGGGCAATGAACCGAGTGGTTGGTGCTGTATCATTTTTAGTGAGACAATCCATTGTTTGCTTATTTCTGCTGGGGCATGTGGTCCTGAGTGGCGCTATAATGATGTTGTCAAGGCCAATATCTGAGTTGAGAGGTCAAGCCGAGCCGATAGTTAACTAAGGTTATTCATCTGATGATGTATTTTCCTGTTGCCGAGCTCGAGTTAAAGATGCTTTTGCTTTGCTGAATTTTGTTATCGTCGAGGTGAGATTTGTCTCGAAATTCTTAAAGATTTCCGAGTCCCCCACTCCTTTCGAGCTCACATGTTAAATTAGAGGTGAAAAGGGTACAGTTTGATCTTGGGTGATGAGGAGTCCTCCTCGGCTGAAGTCACACCATTTGTAGAATAATTGAGGCTGAAGAATCTGGCGTTTGAATGCATTTAATCCAAAGCTTTCCCGTCTGCCCTTGGAATTTGCTCGATTTCATAGCACTGGAATACTTGAAGGAGTACCAGAGTTGCCTCTTTGTATAGCTACATTCTTTCTTCTTTAACCATGTACGAGCCCAGAATCTGGCCCACCACTAGATTCGAATCATATTTGATAATGATATTTCTCGCTTGTAGTTAGCTGCAAGGCAAAGATCGGAGACTTTAAACTTAAAGTGTATGGCATAGTAGGCTCGAAAGCCTTCCGGGGTGATGAGTACAACCCCGCCCCCCTGTCGTAGCAAGTGTCAGCTCTTAAGCTGAGCACTCAACTATGATGATGGCCCTTAATAGCTGATGTCATGTTGAAGTAGGACAATGTCAGCCCAAGAAACAGACGAGAGATGGATGATGTCACTGCTGACGTCGGACTTTCATAATCTGGGCTTGAGACGTTAGCGGCAACGGCAGTGATGTAAACCCTGGATATGCAAATGTCTTGAACTCCCGGGAAATGGCTGAGTATGAGACCACAACGGAGCAAAACGGGTCTGCTAGAGTGCAGTGATAGGAACCGATTTGGAAAATGAAAACAAACGTAGATTGATACAGAAGTCTGAAACGAAAAATACAATTGAGACTCTTCGAGAGGCCTCACTCTCCCAATTCCCAACCCAATCACTCCCCCCTTTAACACCCACCTTGTCCTCAAGGTGGAGAGTAAGAAACAGCCATGCCATTCAACTTCATTCTCACGCCTCTTCCTTCCCAATGCTTCAGCTGGGATACATAAAATGGCAAAACCTTCCCATTTGGATTGAGAGCTCCAGCTATCAAACGGTCACAACGATTGATGTTGGTAGTAGCTTGCTCAAGGTTGTTTGCAGGAGAAGATGATGGATATGCATAACTCTCATTCTGTTCTTGATTACCCTTGGTCATCATCTTATTTGATTCCTTACAGCAGTCAATTCTCATTTTCTGCTGGCTGTGAAAGATTTTACCATTTTCCCTCTCATATGGCTTCTCTTCAATTCCAGCAGTTCTTTCAAGGTAATAAACAATATCAACCTCTATTTCCTGAACTGCCTCATACTTTCCATTCACTCCCGATGAAACTCGATGCATACTTTTATTCCAGGTTTGCCAACTAACTTCGTCCGAGGTATCCTTTGCAAAAAAGATGTATATGATGAAAGCATTTTCTTTCCCTTGTCTAAGGGCTCTATCTTCAGCCTGTACCATGTGTACAGGTTCCCTTGGCAGATCCAAAATGACAACATATCGCATTTCCGGAGATTCCACACCTAGGTGCTGTGATCCCTTTTTTTACTTCACATTTCACAAGAGAACCGTCTTTTGCTGCAAGTTCGGCACCTACTTTCTGACTAGAAACCATGCTAGTCCAGTCCCCTTTCTGAACAACGGATAGTTGTGTAACCTCATTAGTCCAAACATTTATATTAGTATAGATTTCATCCCAGCACCCTCTACAATCCCCACAAAGTGCTCCTACAGAGTTACTGACCAAGAGATAAGCACAATTTGATAGGAATAGGTAAATCTCCCTTCCTGGGCAGTTGTGGCTTCTGTCCCAGGACATCTCCAGTTCACTTGATGCCACCTGCAAACTGATGGTTTCTCCTCTGCATATCGTCCTACTAGGTCTGGCAAAAGGATGTCTATGCCTAGGGTCTGATCCACCTCTTGATCCCGTGGTGCTCTGGCTCACAGATGGATATCGCCTCAAATTGAATTCTCCTCCTGATAGCGTCGCTCTTTGACGTGAATTGGTAGCGGCTGAAATTATCTGCCAACTGACAGTATCTACTCTCGATGAAACCAGACAACTAGAAGAATTTGCTTGAGACTGAGAATAAATCTGCGAACTCCCAGAATCTGATAGTGACAAAGTTGGCTTACTGGGAGATGCAATTTGCGAAGACACTTGTGAACTGGGAGAATTTGATAGCGACGAACTCTGCAACCTGTGAGAAGCTGAACGCAACAGGGTCAGTGAAGTGGGGAACTCAGCTCGTGGTGAAGCTTGCGAACTGGGGAGAGCTAATTGCAACTGCGACGAACCTTGGCTTTCAAACTGTCTATGATGTTTACGGTTCCTCGATTGGCCCCTAGGTCTTCGGTGACCTTGCTGAAGCAGAAAGTCGCGCATCTCCTCCAACGATGTGCACAAGTCACAAAGCTTGTTCACTGATGTACGCACCTCAGCCAAGTTACGCTCTATCTTCTCCAATCGCTTCTCCATCCTGAATAGGCTGAAGGTCTTCCATGAGTAGATGAATCGTCACTGCTTTGATACCAATGATAGTGTTGAAATACAAACTAAATAATATTGAAGAGTGGAGGAAAGATTTTCTGTGTATTTCATAGAAGGGTAAAGGCCCTATATATATTACAAAGATGGAATATTCCTATATAAGATGCTTTACAATAATAATGTCTAGAGTATACTCCTAAAGCATATTCTTAGATACAATAATACTTTCACACTCCCCCTCAAGTTGGAGCATAGATATTTATCATGCCCAACTTGTTACATAAATAATCAACTCGAATCCCATTTAGAGCTTTAGTGAATAAATCTCCAAGTTGTTCTCCGGTCTTCACATATCCGGTAGAGATTAATCCTTTTTGTATCTTCTCTAGAAAAAAATGGCAATCAACCTCAATATGCTTTGTTCTCTCATGAAATACGGGATTGTTTGCTATGTGTATAGCAGCTTGGTTATCGCACCACAACTGAGCAGGCATTGGTGTCTTCAATCCGATTTCATTCAATAAATGGTGTATCCATATTATCTCACATGTGGATTGTGCCATAGCTTGATATTCCGATTCAGCACTAGAACGAGAAACCACATTTTGTTTCTTACTCTTCCACGATACAAGATTACCACCAACAAAGACGCAATAGCCAGATGTAGATCTTCGATCATCTTTAGAACCGGCCCAATTAGCATCTGTAAAGCATTCTATTCTCATGTGATCATGGTTTTGATAAACAATACCTTGTCCTGGTGCTCCCTTTAAGTAACATAATATGTGTTCTACAGCAACCCAATGATCAATGGTCGGAGATGACATGTATTGACTCACTGCACTCACAGAATAAGCAATATCTGGACGAGTGACTGTGAGATAATTAAGCTTTCCAGCCAATCGTCTATATCTTTCTGGGTCTTCAAACGGCATGCCTTCTTGAGTGAGTTGCACATTGGGAACCAAGGGAGTATTGCTCGGCTTTGATCCCAACTTCCCTGTTTCAGCGAGCAAATCAAGTACATATTTTCGTTGAGATAGAAATATGTCTTTCTTACTCCGTGTTAGCAGACTTCCAAGATTCTGTTCAGAAGATACCTGGAAATAGCTAGCACATGTGGTAGAAGACACGACGGCAAGTGTGGTGATGGGTTTCGATCGAAGCCCCGGCCAGAAACGCGGCAAAAGCTGCCGACAGCGCGTGTAGCTCACGCGAGCTGATTTGGGCGTGCGGAGCTCAGGTCGCCGGCGGCAGGCAAACAAGAGGGTGATGGAGGTGAGACAGATGTTGGACTAAGGTTATGAACTAAAGTGTCCGTTGATGTTCTGTTGAGGTTCTGAGACTACACATGTTCTGCTGAGGTTCTGAGGCCGATGTTCTGAAAAGGAAAAAACTGGGCTTTGAAATTAGAATAAAATGGAACAGAAAGGCTCTGATACCATGTTGAAAT